GGGGGAGGGGGGGAAAAGCAAGGAGCATCCCAGGGCTGAGAGGACAACTCATTCCATCGGATGATGCCCACTGTTTGCTTTTTAATTAAATCTTTCAACACCAAGAGAAAAACAGAACTCACGTTGTAACTCTGGAGGGACCTGCAGAACCTACACAGAAAGTTAGTTGGAATTTCTCAAGCGCTGAAGAGCCGACATTGACAAATCTTAAGGTGCAAAACAAGTTTGACAACTTCCAAAAAAAAACTTTTTCTTCTTCTTCTGTCTGCCCTTCTCTGAGTGTGTGTCTGAAAAAGGAAGGAGTTTGTGTTCCGGGGAATGAATTTTTTTATATAAAGGCGGCAGTAGATTGTGTGTGTGTGTGTGTGTGTGTGTGTGTGTGCTGTTGTTGCTAACCATTAGCGAGCTGTAATCGGGTTTATTTTTTTTTACTTGGAAGGGACCATGTCGGATGATCGGAGCGTGTCAGACGTGGCGAGCTCGGGAGGCTCAGAGAGTGAGTCGGTGGTTTCTCCTGGATCCTCTCTCGCTCCTGATGGAGATGAAAAGTTCCAGGCTGGCACCGAGGAAGGCAGTGGCAAACGGGAGAGCGAGGAGGACAAATTTCCGCTGTGCATCCGAGAAGCGGTGAGCCAAGTGCTGGAAGGTTATGACTGGACCCTAGTGCCCATGCCGGTCCGAGTCAACGGCTCCTCTAAGAATAAGCCTCATGTCAAGAGACCTATGAACGCCTTCATGGTGTGGGCTCAGGCCGCAAGAAGAAAACTGGCAGATCAATACCCACATCTCCACAATGCAGAGCTTAGCAAGACTCTGGGCAAACTCTGGAGGTGAGTTCAAGACACACAAAAAAAATCCCCTAAAGAACTGAGCAAAAAACACCAGAAATTGCTGGAAAAGCTCAGCAGGTCTAGCAGCATCTGTGGAGAGAAATCCGAGCTAACGTTGTGTGTCCGGTGACCCTTCCTCAGAACTGAGGATGCTGGCTTTCAGAAACAAACACAGAACTAGCTGGAAAAGCTCAGCAGGTCTGGCAGCATCTGTGGAGAGAGAGAGAGAGAGAGAGAGAGAGTTAATGATTCAAGTCTGGTATATCTCTCCTGCGGAATTGATCTTTCTTGAGTTGTAACATTCAGAACATTCATACTGGATTTGAAACGTTAACTCTGTTTCTGTCTCCGCTGATGCTGCCAAACCTGTTGAGTTTCTCCAGCAATTTCTGCGTGTGTTTCTGGAGGTGAGTTCTTGAGGGTTAAAACCCCTTTCCCCTTAGAGCATTTCAGATGCCAACACCCTCCAGCCGAATAGAGGGACGGTGGATACGCGACGTGAGCTGTTTGTGCTACTCAGATGCGGATTTTTGCTTAGCGCTTTCTGGGTTTTGTTTTAAATTTTGTTTCCATTGTAAGGCAGGCTGGACAGAGAAACGAAATGCCTTTTGTCAAAGCTCTTCAACCCTGGGTTGAGAGGTGCTAACTTTTCAGCCGGGTTTAGGGGCGACAAAGATTTTGGGAATTGAAAATCGTTTATGGAGATCTGGTCTAATTTAAATAGTGGTTAGTTCAGCCGGATTTTTGTACCAGTCCTTCAGAAGCATTTGCCAGTCATTTTCCATCTAACGCAGACTGCAGATACACCGAAATAGGAACCCACTGTTGCCAGAACTTCCTGCGTTGATTCCAAACTTTTTGGCTGATATTTATTTGCTACTTTTACAGGTTCCAACTGGCTTGTCATTAAGTTAATTACTTCTCAATGAACAGCTAAATTGTACAAAGCAAAGTGAATTTCAATCATTACTTTGTAAATATTGCTGCCTTTGTTTAGTCTGTGAGAATGCATTCAAAATGTTTGCAGACCTTTGTCTTGTTATTCCCAATTGGAAGAAATTCTGAATTGGAATGGGCCAGGGAATTGGGTTCAGAGGGATTTGCAAGGAAAAGCCTTTCCTGAATCTTCAGTGAGGGACAAATGAAAAGTACAAAATATACAAAGAGTGAGGGAGGAGGTGCTGAAAGGCTCAGGTTGACTGAGCGGGGAGAGACAGAATGAACAGAGGGAAGAGGGATTGGGAAAGGAGAAAGGTGGGCAATTACGGGGGGGAAAAAAGGGGTTGGAGTGAGCATGAGAGATGGACTGAGGGAGGAAAAAATCCTCCGACAAATAAAAGGGATAGAGGAAACTGGGCAAGGAATGAGAAGCTTCAAAGAGAGGGAATGGGGAATAGGAACAAAGGATAGACTGGGGCAGATAGTGAACAACATGGAAAAAAGGATGAGTTGTCAGATGGTATGGTCAAGAAATTGGAGAGCAGAGTGAGGCAGAAAAATGGACAAAGTTTGAGGGGGAACGAAGTGTAGACAGGGAAACCTAAAGAAGAAAGGATAACGTTGCCAGTCTGAGAAACAAAGGCATGTCCTTTGATGGGGAGAGACCAGGGAAGGAGGAGTGTAGTGGGGTGGAGGGGGTTGCAGTGGTGAGGACAGAGTTATATTGTCAACAAAGACAATACTAGCAGGAAAGAAAGAAAGAGAGAGAGAGAGAGAGAGAGAGAGAGAGAGGAACTGCCCCCAACCCAACTGTTTCTCTCTGTGCAAATTGCCTGTGAGCTTGCAGTGGGATTGATGGAGTCAACAGCAAATCACCAAATGAGGAACAATCAGATTGCAATGTGTGCTGGAACAGGGGAGACCCTCAGTGGAGTTGGGCAGGAGTCAGAGCGGCTATCCAATAAGAGGGTGTGATGGATCAAGTTGGACTGGCTCCATGGATGTGACTCACTGCTTCAGTACAAAGGAGGTGGAGGCACTTGGGAGGGTGTTATGCTGGGTGTCACATTGATGCCAAGGAGAGGTCCTCACCTTGGAAGTGGGTGTTCCATTGTGGTGATTCGTGGGAGCTGTGCTGGTGAAAAGAGGAGGAACAGGAACACGATGGGTCATTCAGCACCTCCATTCCAGTCAGCCATTGAGGAAGATCATGGCTGCTCCGAACCACCATGGGTTTGCGTGAGGTGCACTGGCAGGAATTTCTGATGATATTGTGTATTGTCCACACTGAGAGAAAGCAAAATGATTGCCACTAGACGAATGAGGAAGCAGCTGAGACCCTGTGCTCTGCAACCCCCACCTCCTGCCAAAACATTCTTGTCAAGGTGACCATGGGCAGCACTCTCACCTGGCAATATTCTGAAATTGAAACACCCCAGAGTGTAAACAGACAGGCAGACACTCCTGGTGTGTTACCGAGGGAGCGCCGCACTGTTGGAGGGTCGGGGCTGAGGGAGCGCCGTGCTGTCAGAGGGTCAGGGCTGAGGGAGCGCTGCACTGTCGGAGGAACAGGTGTACATGAATATTTTGACAGCCATGATATGAAGAGGAGTAGGGGAAATTTCACCCCTACTCCTGTGTCTTGGCCAATAATTATCTTTTTAGTATCAAACTAACACTTAAAAAACATTTTTCTCACTGATGTGTTTGCTGTCGTGAAAATCTGTTTGCTACATTTGAGCCATGACTGCCCTTCAAAAACAATTCATTAGCCATGAGACCCTTTGGAATTTCCTGAGGTTGTAAAGGATGCTATTGAAATGCAATTTGTTGTGTTTCTCACTCATATCGTAATTAAAGAGAATAAAATATTAAACTTCAAACTGGAAAAGAAAGCTGATCAATAAATCAGCAGAAGGTTATCATGTTCTGGTTCAGATGTTCACTTTATCGTCGAGTACTGATCAATCTTCTGTTTCTCCTCTGCTTTGATCAATTGATTTATCCATTATTGTCCTGACTGATATCCCACTGTCTAGCCCCCCACCTCATCCAGGACCCTGCTGCTAGATTTGAACCCTCATCCTCCCATTCACCTATCAGCCTTGGTCTCACTGACTTGCGTGGGCTCCCCAGATCAGACAACGCTCCAACTTTAAGACTCTGAACCTTGTTTACAAATCCCTCCATGGCCTCACCTCCCCCATCCCTTCCCTATTTCTCATCTCATCCAGTGCTCCAACCTTCCCAGATCTTTGTACTCTTCATCATCATGTGTATCCATGACCTGCCCACAAACACCCATCCTTACACTAACTGGGCCTAATGGTGCAGCGGTGTCGTCACTGGGCAAGTAATCCAGAAGCACGGGCTAATGATCTAGGGACATGGGCTCAATTCCCATCACAGCGACCTGCTGTAAACTAAATTCAATTCAGAAAATCTGGAATTTAAAAAAGAAATAGTGAATGTTGTTGATTATTGACCTGATTCATTTAGGGAAGGAAATCTGCCACCCTTGCCCAGTCTGATGTGGAGGTGCCAGTGTTGGACTGGGGTGGACAAAGTCAGAAATCACATGACACCAGGTTATAGTCCAACAGGCTTATTTGAAATCACAAACTTTCGTAGCACTGCTCCTTCAAAGCACTCTGGAAGTTTTTGATTTCAAATGAACCTGTTGGACTATAATCTAGTGTCATGTGACTTCTGACTCACAGCAATGTGGTTGACTCTTAACTGCCCTCTGGGTAATTAGGGATGGGCAATAAATGCCGGTCTAGCCCAGAAGATAAACACCACCCCCCTGACTGAACTTTTTAAAAATTTCTGGTTCACTGATATTCTTTAGAGAAGGAAATCTGCCATACTTACCTGGTCTGGCCTACGTGTGACTCCAGATTCACAGTAACGTGGTTGAATCTTAACTGCGCCCTGAAATGGCCTCAAGACACTTGGATATGATAGTCAAAAATTAGTGAAAATATCCTTCCCCACACCAATTGGGTAACCATACACTTGTGCCATATGGAATGCAGTGGTTCAGGAAGATAGCTCAAAGGCATTTAAGGATGAACAATGAATGTTGGCCCAGACAGTGACACCCACAATTCCCAAAGACAGACAAATAAGAGAAAAATTAACTTCCTGAATTCTGGCGATATTTAAAGTTGGGGAAAGGGGGTTGGGAGTGGTAGGGGTGGAACGGCACGGTTGGGATGAATGGGATGGGGCTGAAAAATAGGATGTTTTCTCGACTACTGGCTCAAATATGCAAACAACGATTTTTTTTTATCTAAAGAAAAGGTTGAAGGGGTTATTTGGGGTGGAATCGGAACAGCTTACCAGCAAAATGTAACTGAGTTTGCAAAAATAAACTCTCGGCTATTTATAACAAGGTGAGTAACTGGCATCCGGTAGGGAGCTGGAGACAGAAATCCAGCTGTCTGTGGTTTCTGATGTTGTTCAGTCACTCTGGAGCTGGTCTTGTAACTCCTGTCCAGGCATGTGGCTATGAGGAGATGAGTGAAACATGGGAAAGGGTTCGGAGAAAGCAGGAGGGCACCAAGGGGCAAAAGAGGATTTTCAGTCTCGTCAATCCAGCAATCATTCCAAAACCCTCTTCCCATCCGTGGATGGAGATGGGATTGATCTGACTAGGACTGTGGGAGGTTGAGTTAATCAGTCATCTGGTTGGGAAATAAACCTTTAATCAGAGGCAGCTTTGGCAAAGATTCTTTAATTGTCGATTAGGCAGAAGGAATAATTTCTTATGCTGTTGTATTTGATGATCAATTGATGTACATCAGGCCAAGAGAACAGCCTTGGTAATGACATACATCAATAAAAGCAAGTTCAATGTCACCTTAAACACCCCCAACATTTCAGGGAGCTTGTAATAATTAATAATAGACATCTGCCCATCAGTTCTAATCTTCAAATCCTCTCTGAGCTCATTCTCAGCTGTAAGTGAATCCAGGAGGAGACCCATGTTATCTCCACACCTGAATTTTCCAAGGCTTTTCTGGTCCGTCTCCCAGTTTCAGAAACTTCAGTCTTTC